ACGTGTTTGCCATAGCAGGGGGACAAACGGACGTGTTTGCCATAGCAGGGGGACAAACGGACGTGTTTGCCATAGCAGGGGGACAAACGGACGTGTTTGCCATAGCAGGGGGACAAACGGACGTGTTTGCCATAGCAGGGGGACAAACGGACGTGTTTGCCATAGCAGGGGGACAAACGGACGTGTTTGCCATAGCAGGGGGACAAACGGACGTGTTTGCCATAGCAGGGGGACAAACGGACGTGTTTGCCATAGCAGGGGGACAAACGGACGTGTTTGCCATAGCAGGGGGACAAACGGACGTGTTTGCCATAGCAGGGGGACAAACGGACGTGTTTGCCATAGCAGGGGGACAAACGGACGTGTTTGCCATAGCAGGGGGACAAACGGACGTGTTTGCCATAGCAGGGGGACAAACGGACGTGTTTGCCATAGCAGGGGGACAAACGGACGTGTTTGCCATAGCAGGGGGACAAACGGACGTGTTTGCCATAGCAGGGGGACAAACGGACGTGTTTGCCATAGCAGGGGGACAAACGGACGTGTTTGCCATAGCAGGGGGACAAACGGACGTGTTTGCCATAGCAGGGGGACAAACGGACGTGTTTGCCATAGCAGGGGGACAAACGGACGTGTTTGCCATAGCAGGGGGACAAACGGACGTGTTTGCCATAGCAGGGGGACAAACGGACGTGTTTGCCATAGCAGGGGGACAAACGGACGTGTTTGCCATAGCAGGGGGACAAACGGACGTGTTTGCCATAGCAGGGGGACAAACGGACGTGTTTGCCATAGCAGGGGGACAAACGGACGTGTTTGCCATAGCAGGGGGACAAACGGACGTGTTTGCCATAGCAGGGGGACAAACGGACGTGTTTGCCATAGCAGGGGGACAAACGGACGTGTTTGCCATAGCAGGGGGACAAACGGACGTGTTTGCCATAGCAGGGGGACAAACGGACGTGTTTGCCATAGCAGGGGGACAAACGGACGTGTTTGCCATAGCAGGGGGACAAACGGACGTGTTTGCCATAGCAGGGGGACAAACGGACGTGTTTGCCATAGCAGGGGGACAAACGGACGTGTTTGCCATAGCAGGGGGACAAACGGACGTGTTTGCCATAGCAGGGGGACAAACGGACGTGTTTGCCATAGCAGGGGGACAAACGGACGTGTTTGCCATAGCAGGGGGACAAACGGACGTGTTTGCCATAGCAGGGGGACAAACGGACGTGTTTGCCATAGCCCCGGGCATCCGGCCACGGCGGGCTGTCCCCTCCCCGGCAGCGCTCCGGGGAGAGCTGCGATTCCCCAGGTAATGGTGCGTGAGAAATAGCCGAGAGGGAGTGGGGAGTGCAATAGCAGGGGGACAAACGGACGTGTTTGCCATAGCAGGGGGACAAACGGACGTGTTTGCCATAGCAGGGGGACAAACGGACGTGTTTGGAGCAGCAAGGGGACAAACGGACGTGTTTGGAGCAGTAAGGGGACAAACGGACCTGTTTGGAGCAGCAAGGGGACAAACGGATGTGTTTGCCATAGCAGGGGGACAAACGGACATGTTTGTAGCAGCAGTGGGACAAACGGACGTGTTTGCGGTAGCAGGGGGACAAACTGACACCTTTGCAAGCAGAGCAGATGCCAAGGCAGAGTTGTTTTGTTCAGAGCCCGGCGGTTAGATTTTTGGAAACTCTGATGACGTTTGGTTTATGGGTTCTGTTAAGTGCCACGTGACAAGCAGCTGGGAGGTTTGGATTTTATTTTAATTTCTTTATTTTGGCTCATTTTGCCTCAAACCCATGGGGACGGGAACAGAGACATCTGGGGCTTCCACCCGTGGCTCTGCTGCGTGGCTCGGGGCGAGGTGGTCCTGCCACTGTGCCCGGCCCCGGCCCAGGAGCACGTGGGCAGCCGCTGTACTGCAATGCTCAGATTGTCCCTGACCAAGTCAATCCCTGGATTTCCTCGTTTTCTGTGGCTTATCCCTGGGAAGATGAGGGCGATGTGGTCAAGGAGTTGGTTGGAGAAGGGGACAGGTCAGTCCAGGGAGGAGGCAGGCTCCAGCCTGAGCCTGCTCCGGGGGCAGCGCTGGGACAGGCGAGGGAAGAGCCGAGATTGCAGAAGATGATGCGTCGGGACACCGGCTTGTCCTTGTTTTTAAGGACAGTCCTAAAGTCAGAAATGTTAAGGATGGCTTGGAACGGGTCACGTCACGAGACGAGCGAAAGGGAAAAGGAAATAAAATACAAAAAATATAAATAAAAAAAATTAAACCCAGAAAATTGCCCACGCTGGAGCAGCCTGCCTGGTGCGGTAACGCCGTCCGTAGCTGGCGCCGCGAGATGAGGGAGCGGTGGAGGTGCTACGGCGCTGCCGGCAGGCGGCTTTTTGGGCTTGATGTAAGGAAAAGCCAAGTCGCTGATATCCCATCTGCGTTCCCCCAGCAGATACCCAAAGCCTGCAAAACGTGAAGCTCCCCCAGCAGCCACCGCAGCCTCCGCCTTCAGCGTTCCTCTTGCATTCGTACCTGGCAAGATCTGCCCCGAGAGCCCACGCTGCCCGGGCTGCCGCGGCGGCGCGCTCGCTTCTGCTCTTACTGAACGCTCGCTGCTTCCTATAAAGGGAGAAACGCGGGCGTTTGTCATCGAATGCCAGTGCTCGTCTGCAAATGTCACGTAAGCCACCCTTCCTCCTCCCCGGAGAGCCCGTGACCCTGGAGGGGAGTTCCTGCACCCCTCCGCACCCTCGCATCACCCTGTGGGTTTTTTTTTTTTTTTGGGGGGGGGGGTTGTCTTGCAGTGTGAGCGCTGCCGGGAGCCCGGGGGCCACACGGGGACGGTGCCGTGGTGCAAACCCGCGCCCCTTGCGTGCGGTGACGGGGCTGCCGGCAGCGCGTGGCTGTTGGCCCACGGGTCAGCATCGGTGGCCTGGGCAGGGGCAGCTGAGGATGACGCTGTTTGTGGGGCCGGGGGGATGCGTGCCAAGCAATTAAGGTAATCCAGTGGTCTGGCAGAAGAAGGGAATTTAATCTGTAAGTGGCTTCAGCCTTGGCTGCCCCTTTGCCAGGGGTCTGCCGTGCCAGGGTTCCTGCGGTGAACTGGACAAGCCGCTCGCTGGATCTGGTTGTCCTTGCTATTGCTTAAAAAAAAAAAAAAAAAAATATCATCTTTGTCCCTGCAGGCTGGCACGAAGCTTCATCATCAAACGTAACCGCGCGTCATTGACTGGGCTGGGCTCTGGGGACAGAAAGTGTCTGGCTCCGTACGGCGAACGGCAGCGACAGCGTTCGTCTGCGCGGCATCTCGTTCCGCTTGCAGGGTGGCGGCGATGGCCTTTTGGGGGACAAGTGGTGGCGGCTGTCGCGGTTTGCAGCCCCGGGGCCGCCGCGTGGGGATGCTCCTGTGGCACGGGAGGCGGCAGGAGGGAATCCGCCCGGGAGTTGTCTCGTCCCGCTGCAGACAAGCAGGGTTTTAGTCTTTACCCTGTTTTTTTTGGTACCGAAATACATGAAATTCTTGGGTTTGTTCTCTGTGTCGTTGAGGACCGTTGCAGGATGCCTCTGCATGTCCGTCTTTGTGTTAGGGATGGTGAGCTGCGGAGCGTTGTCGCCCGCCCTGCTTTCCTGAGGTGACCCCTTGCGTCAATTCGCACGAGCCCTCTGGCGCTGAGGGTCTTTGTTGGCGCTGAGGGTCTTTGTTGGCGCTGAGGGTCTTTGTTGGCGCTGAGGGTCTTTGTTGGCGCTGAGGGGCTTCGTTGGGGCTGCGGGGCTTCGT